TGCTTATTCTTTCTGCTAGTGTTGAATCCTCCCTTAAAGCTGAAGCTGACAGATGAATGTTTAGACTCTTTTGTCTGTAAAGCTGATAAAAGGTTTCTGCTCAGTGCCTTTATTGCTCATCGGAGTGTTTGTTTTATAAAAACCTGCAGTTTATGGCATGGAGACAACCTTCCCTTTGATGGCCGGGGTGGCATTCTTGCTCACGCTTTCTTCCCTAAAACACACCGACAAGGTGAAATTCACTTTGACGCTGATGAGTCATGGACACTCGGAAACCACATGGGTGAGTTTATTTTTTATTGCTGGAAGCTGTGCATAAAAACTGTGAAATGAATAGAATTACAAGAGTTGTGATTACTGTCTGAATATCTCCATTGTCTGCTGCTGTCACTTGTTTCCCAGCAGAACATTTGTTTCAGTAAATAGCTGCCATGTTTTGTGGAGTTGCAGAAGGCATTCATCTGTGGCTCTCAGTAATATCCAGCCTATTGTTATGGGTTTTCCCTGCATACCATAACAGGAGCTTGGTTTTCATTGCTAGCAATAATTCATACCGCTGATTTAGTTCAGAATTTTTACTGACAGAATTATTGGGCACAGCAAAGGGACAGAGGGGGTCAGTGGTTAGAGGATTTTGTCTTTGCTTTATGCAGATGATGTGGTTCTGTTGGGCAGCTTGAAGTCAGGTGTTAAGAACCTTGATTGGGAATTTGGTTAAAGTGTGAAGCCGTGGTTCTCAGTATGAAAAGGATGGGGTATGTACTCTGGGTAGAGATCTTTGGAAGTGTCCCAAGAGGGCACGAAAGAGGGGAAGAGATTTACAACATTTACAATGATGCAGACGGTCTAACGGTAAAGACAGATGAACATGAAAGTAGAATTGTAACTTTATGGTTGATTTAAGTTCCTGGCCTCACTTTGGGTTGTGACAGAGGGAATGAGTTTGCAAATAGCAGCAGGAATGAGCAAATGAGGGCATCTGCTACGTGCTGCATGAGGTAGCTTGTAGCCTCCTTTCAGAAGAGCTGGATGACATGCCCAGGGGAGGGAAGTTCCCTGTGACACTAGGATAAGATAAGCAGCTGAGAATGGATGGATGGGTGGATGACTTTTGGGCTAACGGACATTTTTTTTTGCTTGTTTAATCAAATAATAAATTAGTTGCCAGGAGCTTCCATAGTTGTCAGGTACATTACTTTAATATATGGACTGAACTGACGTATATCTAAACTTTCATGCTGCAGTTTTTTAGATAATAGTGTTATCGCTAAGACCAAAACAAAGCAAGGCATACTTTTATATGAGAAAAGTGGGAAACTGAGAAAAATAGTCCATGTTGCTGTCAGTTTCTTAAACGCAATGTTTGTGACAGTCCAGGAAATAAGTTCACTGTACCACAAATGAGGCAGTAAAACAGCCACATAAATGAAAAAAATGTGTTTGTACTGGAAACATGATCAACAACATCTGTGTATTGTTTTAGACTCACAGATGTTTTTGTTGTCTTGTTGTGACCAGCTTTGGCTGGGGAGACAACGTCACTTTTTCAATCATGTTTTCTTGAAGTCATACATTCATAGAGTGCTTGTCACACCTTGCAGCTAATTTAATATTGCCAGTAAGAAGTATGTCGCCGAATCGTCCAGAGTACCCAAAAGAAACTCGTGCAGGCGTGCAGAAACTCCAGATTCAAATCGAATTCCTTATTACCGTGCACTGCTGCAGCACTGATAACGTCTGTGTGTCGGTGAAATGTGTGGCTGAGAGTAGATATGAGTCAGCAGGGAGAGGTACTTTTTATGACTCGTTCAGGAGCCTTGGCACTGGATGGGCTTAGGTAGCAAAATCCCCACCGTGCAAGCAGGTCAAAACAAACAAAACTATCTTCAGACTTTGTTTGAACCAGGTGTGCCCCTCCATCCTTCCACCCTGCAGGCATGGACCTTCTCCAGGTTGCCGCCCATGAGTTCGGGCACGTCCTGGGCCTGCAGCACACCCGTACGAAGGGAGCCATCATGTCCCCACACTACTTCTTCGCCGACTTTCC